ATAATTATCCAAATATCGCATAATTACTGTTGGCCGTTGAGGTGACCTTTTGAAATTGTCCTCCAAGTTGTTCATGTAGACATCAGCTAACAAAGGAGAGAGGGGTGCGTCCACGAACAGAACAAGTATTTGAATGTATGAAGACCAAGACGTTGTGGCCTCTGTTATGGTCGCAGTCTCCTTTCGATTTATACAAGTGGGTTGACCTCGTTGTTTTAACTTGGTCTAGTTGTCAGCGGGACTTAGTAGAACGTACCTAGTCCGAAGTCGTCTACCATAATGGTTGTCATGATTCCCAGCATCTGACAGTGGACTTAATACATTCTCAAACAAATATTTGTTCATAGATGTGTCCGTTGAATCTTAAATAGGTAGTAGATGTGAAGACCAAGTTTGCGTGGCCTTCTGTTCGGTCGCAGTCTCCGTCAGCATTATTGTGTCGATTTGGCCTAGTCTTGGTCGGAGCGTCAGTGAGACCTTGTAGAAAAGGTCATTCTTGTTTTTAGGTGAGTTTATCTGATTATATACTCCTTTCGGATTCGCTTTGTTCCAAAGATGTATTCTATTTTCAAGATCTCCAGTAGTGCCGAGAGTGTTTATTCTTCTGAGATGTTGGTGTAAATGGACTATTATACATCAAAGCTGACAAATAGTTCGCTTCCTCCCAAACTGGTGCCTATTATTTCTTGGCAAAATTTGTATGTATTCTTCACGGTATCCGATAATATGTCATTCACATTCTTAAACTTGAGGCAGTTTATGTGCTGCTCTGTGTTTGTTCTTGACTATCAGCCTCGATGGTTCTACTTCTTTGTGTAACTTCGGACAACTGTATGCCACTGGGGCTCTCGCATCCCTTCATATATGCCGATTTCCTAGTTTCTAATCATTTGCTTCAGCATTTCTTGAAGTGCCCCTTTAATTTTAACTGTTGGGCCTTTTGTTAACAGTCGATAAGTTGTTGTGTAATATGAGCTGTATTCACCCTATTTCGTTTAAGGTGATAAAGGACTGGTCGAAACTCTACTTAAATATAAAAAACAAGTAACGCAGTCGATTGTTGTATCAAATACACGTTTGCCTTATCGACAATTCCCCCAAAGAATATGATATGGCAAAAAGCCTGGCCTTCCTGTAAATTAATATTTTCCCTAAGACCCAATGTCACTCGTGGCAATGTGGCCGAGTGTTTAATGTGTCAAGCTCCCATGCTACACTGTCGCGGTTCGACTCCCGCTGAGAGTGTTGATAAGACCGATGCGAGGTCAAAACTGCAGTCCTCTGGTGCCTGGATGAGAACAACTTTTTGGAAAGCAAGGCTATGTGAAATTCAATGGAAACATCAGCTCTACTCATATCATTGTGGGAAAATTCTACTACCAGTAATTCATCACTTTAAGCGAAATAGGGTGAATACATCTCATATTACTGATTTACTGGTAGTCTCGAAACTCTACTTAATTACGAAAAAAGGTTGTTATGTACCAGAGAATAGTTTATATTTTCTCTCTATATTCCGTCTTGTACAGCAGTACTGTGGCACCTCATTTGTCGGCTTGTGGAACTATTTGATCGTTTATTTTCAATTCTCCATATATACATATATCTTGGTTATATTATTCCTATCCGTAAGCTGTTGATTGCTGGGATGATTTCCATTTCCAGCTCTCTTTTTAATTATTCATGTTGCTTTTCAGGGGTATTTATCACCTCTACTAAAATGTCCTTCCTTGCATTCCGAAGTGCAAAATTTACTCCCGTCTTAAGGATTGCCGTAGATCCGAAGTCAATATGGATGGAAGACAGACTCATTACTTTATCATCCTCTCTTGTTTGGACTATGAGAATCGTCATTATAGAGGCATCTTCGTTTTTAAGGGTGGTTGGACCTTAGGATGTCTTGAAATCCCATATTTATTCAGCTTCTTCTGGTGCGTTTTTTCGATCAAGTTCGATATCCTTTTCGACATTTTGTCTGTCCTCTGTTGTTTCAGGAAATCTTTCGGAGTAAGAAGCCGACTCAAATCATGCCTGATTCTAGTTGAGTTTTTCTAACAATGCTTTGATTAAGCTTTACGTTTTCATTGAACTTCAAATAGCCTTGCTTCCTAAAAGGTATTTTTATTTAGGCAGTTGAGGACTGCAGTTACGACCTCGTCAATTTTGGAAAGCATACTTTCTCTAAATATGATACAGCTTTAATTGAAGACATGAAGACCAAGATGGTGTAGCCTTTAGTGTGATTAGATATAATTAAATACACCTAAAAGGGCACACATGAGCTAAATAGAAATAAACAAATAGATGAGGTGTGTTTGCTCTATATCGTTTAAGGTGGGGAAGGAATTGTAGCTGAATTTTTCCGAAATCATATGAGTGGACATGACGTTTCCAATGAATTTCACATGGCGCTGCTTCCCCAAAAGGTGTTATCATCCAGGGTGCACTGCAGTTTCTACTTCGCCTAAGTCGTATTAACATCCCCGGCGGGACTCGAACCATGACGGGGCTGCATGTAATCTCGAAACGTCAACCACTCAGCCACATTGCCACGAGTGCCTTTGGGTCACAGGGCAAGGTCAGGAATTTTTCTATATCACATTCTGTAGTGGAATTGCCGTTGAAGCAAAGTTATATTTGCTATAGCAGTCGACTACGTCACTTATTCTTCGTTTCATAAGTACAAATGAAAAATTAAATACCCTGGTAAAAAAACTCGAACATTAATGTGGTGATACGATGATATAAGACAGGCTCATGCACCAGGACAAATGTAGAGATACCACAACTGTCTAGCAAAAAAGTGGTCAAAGGATCGAATACACTTGTTGTGCTAAGACTGGCAAGGCGCCATGACGATGCAGGTGAACTGTCTGGGGATGCAGTAAGCTCACGGTCCGACACTTCAACTTTTTGTAGCTACCATGGACTCTGGAAAAGATGTGCTTCTCTAGATCTCCCTGATAAAACGACCAAGTTGCCAAAACAAGGTCAAATATGTAGAAAAATTGGGTTTCGAAGAATCCCTTAATAGATTCATGTTGGAGTAACTTTCGATTCGTTTGAAGAGGCGAGTGGATGGGATTCGTAAGTTGGTTCCACCGAGGGCTATCGACGGGTTGCCTTGGAGCTGTTGTTGTAGATTTGTGCGAATCGGTCCTTGGCGCACCGCCCTGCGATCCCGATGAATCTTTCCTGAGCTTTCGTCCGTCATGTGACGGACATCGTCAGAACAGGACAACAGGCTTAACGATAATTCACTAAAAACACGAAGGCAAGGAAGGTGGCCCGCTCCTTCCTTCTTATATTCCAAACTTGTATTTGCACTTGCAGTTGTTAGCGTTACTGTACAACAAATGAGTTTAAATGTAACCAAAGTGATGTAATTTTCGATATGAGTAGGCTTCGGGACTATTATTACTTCTTTAATAAGAATGTATTCAGTCCTTGCTACTTAAGGTGATGTAGGGATTAATAATTGAGTTTTCCCAAATCCAAATGATTAGGCATCACGATTCCATTCCGTTTCACTTAATCTTGCCCCCAAAAGGCCATCTTATGCAGGCTGAATGGGAGTCCTTAATTAACCTTAAGCAATTTAGATTGCCTAATTTCTTATTCAAGAAGTACTGATAACCTCAAAAACTATTCATATCCAAAGTTGTCTTCAATGAGCCATAATTGGGACTTTCAAAAGTCGACAATTGGTTATTTCGTTTATAAACTTCAGAGAGAGTCATGCTCGCCGTGCACGTCTTCATTTTCAAGACCAATTTCAGTTTTAACAAGGACCTCCGAGTCAACATAATCATCATCAACAGCATCTTTGTAAGCAATAGTCTTAGGCTTTGCACTGCCGCCTCAATCGGCAGCCAAACTTAATGGTTCTGGGTCGCACACCAGTATGCTTGTTGGCTATGCTTTGGAGCAGGTGAAACCGCGAAGCTAAACAATCGGTAGATTGGCAGACGTCCAATTGAAAAATGCCTTTGCGAGACTGAAACAAAGAAAAATTGTATGAAAGTTGTATGGCTAGTCAAACGGGACATACTTGTGCGCGTGTCTGTATGCGCAGCTGCTTGGCCTGGCCGAGTAAAGGAATCAGAACCTGGAATAAAACAAGTGTAAGCATATAAAGATGCATGTCTGCCGGGCAGGAAGGGAGAAATGTGGAAGAAACACATTGAAAACGTGGCAAAACGGGTAGTTGTCCATTCCGTAATCGGCGAAAGGGGGCTGAATAGGGAACAGTCGTTGCATCTGGAAGGAGGACTGGTCCGACCATATTGGCCACGATGTGTCCTAAGAGGAAAGATTTATCGCAATCTAGTCGCCATGTCGAATGGAGTGGGAAAAGTTTATTTCGGAAAAATGGGAGTAGAAAATTGTGGCGTTTGGGAGAAGGAAGAGGAGGAGGAGGAGAAGGAGGAGAAGGAGGAGGAGGAGGTGGTGGTCGTGAATAAGGAGGGTGAGAAGGGCAAGAGAGGGAGCGGCCATACGAGATGGACAAGTGGGAAGAGAAAGCGCCTGAGATATGAGATCTGTGTGAGCAGAGGCACGCAGAGGAGAGGAGAATATTTCGGGTGATTGTCTGAGAGAATAAAAGAATGGCCAAAAGGCTTCTGTCTCAAAAGTATAAATGCCTTTAAGTTCGTCTTTGTGTGAATGGGAAGTGCCAGTCAGCATTGATACATAAAATAGCCACCCCTTAGTCCGGCTTCTCAAGCATTCCATCCCTATTCTGTCCGTCCGTCACTTTCGCGTAGGACCAAAGCGTGAATACAACGATTTTGGCAACTTTGAGCGAGCTGCACTTCATAGTTGACCTGTTTACACCTGTTTTACCAGAACCGAAGGAGGATGTGCTGTTGACAGTATCGACATGAACGTCATGGTGGCAATCAAAAATAATTTTTCTGCGGCATGACTGTCCATTTCGAAGGGAAAGTTGGTTAGAAGGAATTCGTGATGTCGTCTCACCGGAAACCGAAGGAGGATTGCTGCGTATGAAAGACTGTTGAATTGTGCAAAGAAGTCTGTCCTGCGACTCCGATGAAACTGTGCTAAGCTTTCGTCTGTACTGTGACAGACATCATCAGAGCAGCTATCCATACTTCACGAAATCGAGCAAAGTTATACTAAACCAAATGAAAAGGTGACCGGCTACAATCCCAGTCGCATTTTTTATGCGCCTAACTTTGCGAGCTTAATGAAACATCGCATGATTTGGTTGGCTATTCCAAATTTACTCTAACCAACCAAATCATTAAGATCGAGAAGTTAAGCGCATAAAAAAATTTTCCTTTTCTATTAAAAGAGATAAAATAATATATATTCCACAGGCTGTTTCACAAGAAATGAAAATCACTACAGTATAATTACATAATTTTTCATTTAATAAATTGGCTTCGGATCTACTAATATATCCTATATAAGCACTGTATTTTCACAAACTGATGAAAAGGACTAGTAGCTAAATTTTCCCATAGTCAAATATGTAGGCCTCATGTTTGCATTGCATTTCACATAGCCTTGTTTCCCAAATGGTTTGCTCAACCAGACTGGACTTGAATGCAGTTTTATCTCTGCCTGGCAAAGCCCATTTTTAATTCCTTTCCTCTCGCCTTTTGCTAACGACCTTAAACAAAATAGGGTTAATGAATCTTGTAGAGATGAAATATACTTTTAAATGGATTTATCAGGGGATTATTATAAACCCAACTTCTATGTATACCTATCTTTTAAGTGGGATGATAATCGAAGCCAAATCACACTTCGTGTCTATCAGTTCAAAAAGAGTCCGTTAGTTCAATCGAAGGTATGAAGACCAAGATGGTGTGGCCTTTTGTGTGGTCGCAGTCTCCTTTCGTTGCATAGAGGTTGTTTGATCTTGTTTTCGCAACATGGTCATATTGGTAGGGAGATTTAGAGGAATGCACCTAGTCCGGAGTCCATTTTCTGCATGATCATTTCCAAAGTTGAACCATGGACGTCTGGGAATGTACCACGTTCAGGGTCCAACTTTGGAAATGATCATGCATACAATGGACTACGGACTAGGTGCGTTCCTGTAAGTCTTTATGTTCGTTTATAAGCAAGTTTTTGAGACTTCCAGTGTATATATATATATATATGAGGGGCACTTACTCTCGAAAACCTACTTATAAACCAAAAATAAGTAATATAGTTGATTGTTATAGCAATTGACTTTGCTTCATCGACCTTCCCGCCACGGATAGTGATATGGGAAATCCATTTCAGCCCTATGAACCAATAGCATTTGTGACAGTGTGGCGTAGTGGCTAAAATTTCAAGATTATACGCCGCACTACCACACCCTGGGTTCGAGTCTTGCTGGAGATGCTGATGAAAGCACTACAGACAAGGTCAAATCCACAGCCTAGTCCAGCCTGGATGAGAATACTCTTTGAGTGGCAAGGCTATGCGGGATTTAATAGAAACGTAAGATCTACTCATAAGATTGTATAACAATTCGACGGACAGTCTTTCATAAACTTAAACGAAATAGGTTGGACACATTTCATAGAAAATGAGTTCAATTGAAGCATGTATATACCATCGGTATATTCGAAACAAAACCGTAGCTAACACCATAAATTAATAGAAATGGTTATTTATGAGGATACATAAAGTGGAGCATATTTCCTCTGAATCTCACATCTTCTTCCTTTCTGTGTTTTCTCTCTTGTTGGCTTAGAACTGGGGGTGCTGTACTTCGAGTAGCTTTGCCCAGCAATACACAACTTTTGGCGATGCATTTCTTAGCAGCTCTCGACAACACCAGTATGGAGGGGTTTCAGAGAGCGTCTTTATTTCGCTTTTGGAGCCAGTGGTTTGTTTGCACAATTGTAAATAGTCCAATCCGTTTCCTGGAGGGAGGAAATTAAGGCAAGATGAACTCAGCAGGCTTTGGAGCTGAAGCATCGACAATTTAGAGGTGGCGTCTTCATGCATATCACTCTTTGGTGTTTGTATGCCAAACAAATTCGATTGGAAAGTGTCAGTATTCAGATTGTCATTAGCTTTGCATAGTAGGTATGACAATGGCTCTTCGTTTCCTACAGTTTGAGGGGAAGGCCGAGCACCTCATAAAGTTCCTCGGGTGCTAATGCGCCAAATTTTATTAGAAACTAATTATGCTTACTTGATGGATTGAAGAGAAAAGGGGGGATATTGGGCAGGTACAAATAGACAAATAGCTCACCACCTTAATCAGGCGTGTGTTCTAGATGACACAATTTTTAAAGGGGAGGTAATTAAACCGTAATGGCCGAGGACAGAGGTTACATTCAATTATAATTACTTTGAGCTGTCGCCGCTTACTCCGTACATTTGCGAAAACATGAACGCACATAAGCACACGCGTACACATGATTATAGACTGACATTGATTTGAACTAACCGAAGCACTCTTTCTCAAAATGTGTGGGTTTAGGGTATTTATACCAGCATGTAGGTATAGGCCGGTGAGTTTTCTTGATTCGTTATCTTGAATGTGTTTATAGGAACTATGGCGATATCCATCAGATAAAAAGCAATAGCTCCGCCCTCTTTATCGAAATCCAATGAGATCACCTCGGTGACTGCAGTTGTTAGAATGTTCCATTGAAGCCAACCGACAACCGACAACCGACCAAGAGAAATCCGCAATCGTCTTCGAATGGGATCGAGTCACGACTTTCTTTATCACACGCTTTCGCTCGAAATGAAAGTGAGCCAAGAGAGCCCTCGAAATCCAACTTTTTTCGAATAGCTGATAGCAACCAGGCAATTGTCTCATGTTAAGATCAGACGTAAATGTTTTTTCATATAGTGTCGCTAAATCTGGCTCAAGGGCCATCCTATAGCCAAGACCTGATAAGCAGATTGCGTTGAACAACGTTTATATTAACAGAAACTGGGTCTCCAATAATCACTTACAACAATTATTTTAGGAAAAGTTAGGTTTCGAGGAATCTCTTGGTTCAGAATTGTTGAGTTTGCTTTCATTTCGAGTAGAAGTGTTTAGTGAAGAGACTCGAAGGTCGATTCCATCAGAAGACGACAGCAGGTTCCTCTTGACCAGCTGTCGATTGGCGTTACTGGAATATTGCCTTCGACGCCGGTTCCGAGGCAATCTTCTTCGATTCTGACGGAAATCATCAAAGCATGGTTTCATTCTAACAATCATATTCAAGCTAACGAGTCAAGTAAACTCACCTGATTATGCCTACGCCGAACCCACGCATTTCTTTACGCCTCATAAATAGTGTTAGCAAAAATATT